AAGTCGTTAGTTATTTTGGAGTCCACGAACGTGAACAGGTTACTTAACGAAGCCTTAGAAGCAATAATGGAGTCGCTGTCTAACTACACGAAAGAAGGATCAGGTTGGGCAGTGGAGGAGGTAGAAGGCATGCAGGTTAGCATGGCCAGGTACGTACCAATACGAGGAGGAAGTTATGTACCACTACCAACGTGGATAGAAAGGAAGAAAGCCATAGTTAACGTGAAGAACGATGACAACAGATGCTTCATGTGGGCAATACGATCCGCACTGTATCCAGTAGGTAAGGATCCATGTAGACCAAGCAAGTACCCAAGCGACGATTTGGAGTGGGATGGAGTAGAGTTCCCAATGCAGTTGATAGATATTCTCATATTTGAGAAGGAAAATGACCTAGCCATTAACGTTTACGGGGCCCGAGATCAAACGATAGTGCCACTAGTGTTTTCAAAGTCGTATGGAGAGCGCATACACCTTTTCTACCATGGTGGGCACTATTCATGGATTAAGCATCTTAGTAGATTATTTTACAGACACACCAAGCATAAAGGTAAGAAATACTTCTGCGACTGCTGCTTGTTGTCATTTACTTCCTTAAAAGCATTAAAGAGCCACGATGAAATATGCCGTGGAGTAGAAGAAGTCGCACAGCGAATACAAATGCCCACGCAAAAGGAATTGTCATACGAGGACCACCGAAGGCAAACCGAAGTGCCTTACGTGATTTACGTTGACTTTGAAGCGATAATTACAAAGGAGGACCAAAAGAATGGTGCCACGAAAAGACTGGGGTTGCATGAGATTTGCTCATACGGTTACATAGTTGTCAGACACGATGGTAAAGCAGACCCACCAGTTATTTATCGAGGCAAGAACGCAGCAAACAAGTTCCTCGTAGCCCTGCAGGACGAAGAAGAAGTTATCAGAGACAAATTGCGCTGCAAGAAGAAGGTAGCATTCACCAAAGAAAGTCAAGCAGCATATGCAAAAGCTAAGATTTGTCACGTATGCGACCGCGATCTTCTACAATACGGTCGACAGGCTAAAAAGGCATGGGATGAGGATGGTAAGTATCTTGGGGAAGCACTCTTTAAGTGCGGTACTTACGCAAAGAAAGGAGAAAAAGCAGGGAAACCATCCACGCACTGCATTCACTGCCACAAGAGATTCGTAGAAGACTTTTACATGGATAAAGTGTTGGACTACTGCCCACTAACGGGTGCCTACATAGGAGCTGCGCACTGGAGATGCAGGACGAGAGTAAATCCAGACATGGAGATCCCCGTATTCTTTCACAACCTTCGCGGCTACGATTCTCACCTCCTCCTTCAGGGCACGGACGGCTCCGACGTCAAGTGTATACCCAATAACAAGGAGCGCTACATGTCCGTAACTGTTGGCAAGCTGAAGTTCTTAGACTCACAGCAGTTCATGGCGGACTCCTTAGCGAACCTAGTAAAATACAACACCAACTTCCCCATTTCCAGTAAATACGGAGCGGAAAGGAAAGGAGTCTACCCGTACGAATACATGGATTCATGGGAGCGATTTCAAGAATCTTTGCCAAGCAAAGATTGTTTCTACAGCACCCTAAACGAGTCCGGAATAAAGGACGAGGAGTACCAGCACGCCTTAGACGTGTGGCAAAAGCATGACTGCCAAACGATGGGTGACTACCACGACATCTACCTACGTTCAGACGTTGTGTTGCTTGCCGACGTATTTCAAAGCTTCCGGAAGATGGCCATGGAGTACTACGGGTTGGATCCCGCGAACTTTTACACAGCTCCTGGACTTTCTTGGAGCGCCCTGTTGAAGAAGACGAACGCGCAGCTGGACCTACTATACGACATGTACCGGTTTATGGAAGACGGTATTCGTGGCGGCGTTTGCGGGCCCAACAGACGATACGCAAAAGCGAACAATCCCACAGTAGAGTACGACCTGGAGAAGCCAACCACATACATCTTCTACTTAGACGCAAACAACCTCTACGGTTGGGCAATGTCGCAGTACTTACCTGTACGCGACTTCGAATGGGATGACATAAAGCCCATAGACTTCTACATGCAGGTAGACAAAGAAGCAAATAAGGGTTACGTACTGGAGGTGGACCTAGAGTACCCAGAGCACCTGCACGATGCGCACGATGAGTTTCCCCTTGCTCCGGAGGCGATAAAGATACCGTTTAAGCAGCTGAGTCCGCTGCAGAGGGAAATGTGTACTGGTTACAAACCGTAGAGGAAACTAACTATGAACCTGATGGATAAAAAGAAGTACGTGGTGCATTACCGCAACCTGCAGTTTTACATTCGACACGGAATGAGAGTAACGCACATACACCGCGTGTTGAAGTTCACGCAGGAGCCGTGGATGCAGCCCTACATTGACTTTAACACGCAGAAACGCACAGCAGCGAAAAACGACTTYGAAAAGAATCTGTTCAAACTAATGAACAACTCCGTCTTTGGTAAGACGATGGAAAACATCCGAAAGCGGGTAAGCATAAGAATAGCCAGCACCAGAGAGGAGGCAGAAGCATACGTATCACAGCCAGGGTTCGTACGCTACGTAAAAATGCTGAACTTCTACGTAATTCACATGAAGAAGGCGAACCTTTTACTGAACAAGCCCGTTTACACAGGCTTTGCGGTGCTGGACCTATCAAAGCTGCTTATGTACGAGTTTTACTACGATAAGCTAAAGCCAAAGTACGGAGACCGCTGCCACCTTCTGTACACGGACACCGACTCCTTAATCCTCGAAGTGCAGACGGAAGACGTTTACCAGGACTGCCTTAAGGACCTCGATGAGTACGACACCAGCGCCTACCCAAAGGAACACTTTCTTTACTCCGCGAAAAACAAGAAGGTAATAGGGAAGATGAAGGACGAGATGTCCGGTAAGCCCATAGTAGAGTACGTGGGTCTGAAACCCAAGATGTACAGCGTTCTCAAAATGGACGGTGTAGAAAAGAAAGCGAAAGGCGTAAAAAAGTACGTGGTTAAGAAGGACATTACGCACGAGTCCTACTTGAAGGTCCTGCGTACGCGTAAGGAACAGCGGCATAAGATGAACAGCCTGCGCAGCTACGGACATCAAATACACAACGTTACGCAGGAGAAGGTGTCCCTGTCTGCATTTGACGGCAAGAGGTGGATGTGTGATGATGGTATCCATACGATAGCATTCGGACATCACACGATAAGCAGTTCTTCTTTGACGAACCCACGTGTGGGACCATCATGAAGATAATACAAGATGGGCTGACCCTTCTTAGCCATTGCACTTTGGATCTGGTAAGTTTCCAAAGACCAATTAGGATCCGTAGCTCTTTTAGATCCTCCTTCTAATTCACCCGGCTCATAGAGATATCGAACCGTGACATCGCCTAATCTCTTTTCCTGGGGGAAGACCGCCCTTGAACTTCTGACGTAGGACTTGTGTTCCACGTGTTTCTTTTTTATGCCATCCTTGGGTTTCATTCCCGTAGCCCTGGCCGCCTCGTTATTTAAAGCCGCGACAACCTGGGGAAGCCTCTGAGTCCATTCCCTGTTGCGTTTGGAGGGATCTTCCAGCTATTTCCAATACTGGTATCCAAAGAGGCGCTCGGCCAGGGTCTTATTGAATCTTTCGACGATGCTCTGACCCCTGTGGTACTCTGCTTCAGCTCTCCTAATCTTGGTGCTGTGGTCTTTCAGGGTCTTAGTAACCACGCCCATGAACTC